ATATATATATATATATCTTTTTTTCTCTTCTCCCTCGTTTCTCTCTTGATAACTATCTCTATCCCTCTTATGTAGCAACTTCACAATCGATCGAGTGGATGACAAGGAGGGGTGGAGTAGTTGGGATGGTAACGAAACATAAAAAGGAAGAGCCTCTCGTTAGTCCCTTTGGCTAAGGTGTGATTAGGGTTTGATATTTACTTTTGGTCCCTGGTGCTTAAAGCATTGTTCACATTCCACCCTAATCCATTATTCCTTTAGTAAAATTTGCAAGTTTTTTAAAAAGTTGCAATTTTCAATAAAATATGTAGCATTTTAAAAAAAGTTGCAATTTTCAATAAAATTTGCAACTTATTAAACAAAAGTTGCAATAAAATTGGCAATATTTTTTAAAGATAGTTGCGTCAAATCTTCCGATGCAACCTTTATATTCGGCGATACCTTCTTTATAATCAGATGAAACTGTTATGAAAAGGTTGCATCTAAAATGTCGCATTAGACTCATTTTGTAGTAGTATTCAAACGATCAAGATCCAAAGTGAGCAATATGTACAAATTTATGTTGGTAATCTCATAGACTTTTTCAATGTTGGTGTTAGTACCCATGGAGAAAAAAGGAATGAATATAAAGAAGAGAGGAGATCGACAGGAGGTGAGGTCGACATATATGATAGGAGAAACGGCCGATTATGTTTACTTTGATACCATATAAGATATATGTGGTGTCCAAAATTATCTCTCTAGAAAATCTCTTATGGAGGGAGGAGAGACTCGAACGCATATACCCACTTATTGGACTGTATCATATTAATGTCAGTTATACTAACATAGTATCAGAGTCAGCGTCCCGTATCTCCGTAGCTCAACACATCATGTCTATCGTTATAATTATGGAGCCTCTGTGTCTAAAGAGGGAATATTAGTATAGCACATATCGGTACGACGCACTCCAATAAATTGTTATATATGTTTGACTCTCTCCTCTTTCCATAAAAATCTTCTCAAGAAACAATCTTGTCTTATATGTATATCTTACATTATATATTCAACCGTTCCAAAAGAAAATTTGTTTCACTGCCCATTTATAAGTTGATGGACTGAATTCAACTACGTGATCTTATTTATGACATAAATTTTTCGTTTTAATTGAAAACTTAACTTATAATAAATAAATATGAAAGTAATAGCAGGGGTAAGTGATCAGTGTTATATGTGCTCTGTAATATATGTTCTTTTTATTTATACGTATTGTGCAATATATGTATTCTGTAATATATGTGTTATGCCAAATCCCCCCAAACCAATGGTACCACTCAAATGATTGGTTGATAAACAAAATTCAGACTTCTACGTAGCCATTATTCCGGACTTTAGCAAGTCGTTGTTTTCTATCATACATGTAGGGACAAACTCAACTAAAATATTCAGAGATACCATTAATGTCGTTATCACAACTTTAGAATTGCAAGCCTACAACAAAACATCTTGTAACAATTGATAGATCGATACCACCTTTATTCATGCGAGTTAATACATGAACATGCAGGTGAAAAGTACCTTAATTTAAAAGTCATAGTTAATCTTAATCTGTGAGGTCCCACATTGCCTCATCTACGGGGAAATCAAATAGACCATTGTAGTCATCTTCTTGCTCAACAACATGTGAGGCCTCTCCGTTCATAGAACCACCAAATGACCACCCAATTTGATTGTTCATTTCGTTTTCACGATCATCAAATATTAAATCGTTTAGATACTCATTAATCTTGTCATCTAGTACATTTGGTGACAAGATTGACCCTAATGTCATATTCAAGTTATTGTTAACACCATCATTTGACGATCTTAATATGTTACTTCCATTATGAGCCACAATCTGTGGGTTGTCGGCCATGTACTGCTTTAGCGTTTTAGAGAAGGTATGTGGTTGAGGCTTAATAGTAGTGACCATGGTGTCTTGCATTGATTCATTGTCTTTTGATTCTTTCTTCTGTTTCGAATTAGAGGGAAGATGAGTATTCCAGTAGTTTTTCACATCATTAGCAGTTCTTCCAGGTATTCTCCCCGCAATCAATGACCACCTAAAATTAACATCCATATTAATGTTTTGTTTGACGTATTAGCTGAAAAAACTAGTCGTTAGCTTTTAAGCTAGCACATAAAAATAAAGTATTCTAAAACCACTTGATAAGTTAACTAAAATATATAAAATAATATAAAATGGAATTTAAAACAATGTTTTTTTAATTAATTAAGATTATATTTTGAAAAAAAAAAACCTAATAAAAAAAGCTACTCTAAATAACTTTTTAGCAAGTTAGTTTATAAACTAACTTTTTTGTTTTAAGAAACATGAAAACTAAAGGCA